AAATAAATTCAATGTGAGAAGAAATTTTCTGCACTGGGTACGACCTGAACTTTTTACGCCACTGGTTGAGAGGTTTGTTTTGCATTTTGAACCACTGGCCAGAATCAAAGTACAGTACCCAGTCTTGTAGCACTTCACTTTTTTCTACTGTGGTGTTGCTTCCCATGTTTTGTAACTTCTGTCTTTGAAGTTTTCGCTTTCTTCAATGCATTCTTCTAGAGTTTGGTATCATTTTTATGCGCAAACACACACCCTGCACTCAAAAGAGTGTTTGTACAGGGGGTGTCCCCTGCTGTGGTGCCCGCCTATGTGCTGTGCTCTTTATAGGTTGCTATTAATTCCCGTTTCTGATTTTGCTAGTTTTAATTGTTGTTTGGAGGATGTGACCTGTCACTTACATAGAGATACAAGGTCTTTTGAGAGGGATAATTATATTTCTAATTATAGAATTTGTGTAGGATTGATGCTCATGCTGGAGGAATAATTTATTTGACAGGTTTATCTGCTTCTTTGTTTGTGAAGGTTCCTTTAAAAACAACTACTATGGCTGAAAAAGAAAGTTGCCTTCCACACAGCCCAAATAAATATCTATAAAATTACTTTTTGATACATTCCCCCCTCACCTCAAGTTTAGGTGTTTGTGTTTTGTATATGCGTCCATCTGTGTTGCAACGGGGAACTTTAAAAAACCAATTACTGTCAAGGAAAAAAGGTGAGGTATTAATAAACACGTAATAATAATAATTCACCGAGTGAAAAACCTGTGAATGTAGTTTATGAAGAGATGAGGTGTGTGTGGTGTGGGGAGGTATAAAGAACTCAGTGATACATGTCAGTTTTGGACTTGGACAGCCAGACATTTTCTAGTTTTATATAAACTGGTTTGCAGTGACATACCTAACAATAAGAGTCTTTACGCTGATTCACATTGCATCGCATTTACCAAGAATAATTGTTCACCATTAGCTCAAACACCTCAGCCATATGCTTCAACCACAAATGATACCAATTTTGTAGCATAATATTTTTGTGTGAAAATTTATCAGATATAGCCACCTACTCCCACACAGCAGCATTCCAAAATGTGTTATCATCCCAGAGCTTCTTGAGGTGGCTGAAAAGTTAACCACCTTCTTTCTTGGTTCTAGGCTGGACCATGTACTGATAGTGCAATCAATCAAACAAACAAACAAACAAACAACAAACAAACAAACACTATCCTGATGTGAGTCACTGTGGGGCAAAGTTGCCTTGTTTTTAAGGAGCCTAGCTGGGATCCAGGAGATCACATTTCATTGCTGCAGACAAGCAAGTTACACATGTGCTCAAAAACTTGGGGTGTGGGGCAAGAGTGCTCATGCACAGCCAATAACTAAGGTGAGAAAAGAAAAAAGCATACTAAATAGTGTGTAACTGCTGCTTCTAGCTTTCTCATTTTCTCATATTTTTCAGTTGGTAAAATAGGTGCTGTGCTGGAGAAGTGCAGCTGGGAGCTTTTAGCCTAAGAATGGGGGACAGGGAGAGATTAAATATGTTTTAAAAAACATATTGGAGAATGCAAGTGATATATGAACCTAGTCAAGAGTACTCATAATCTTGACATCTGTAGCAGAAGTAGCACTTGCAATCATAGACATGCTTGGCTGGAGGAAGGAATACAGATTTTTCACTAGAAGATCACAATTTGCGTTTTGGGTATTAAGGAGAATGAGGGGATAAACCAACCTTTCTGAAATGACATCTAGATTCTGACTTAGTCACTGTTGCTCATCACTTGAAATTTAGAACGGTTGATGCTGGTGGTCCCTGGAAATGTCTAAAGACCCCTGTTCAATGGTGGCTGGTGCTCTTTGGCGATGCGTGGTGTGGAAAGCAAGGAGACCAGCAGTAGGTGGAGTCTGAGCCAAGGGAGGCAGAGCTAATTTTTTGTCCCCATCCTCATGCCTCTTGAACTCCACGAGAAGCAACATTTGACTGAAGAAGCAGATAGCCTGGATTGCTTGTGTGTAAGAAGGCAAGTGGGCTTGGAGGAATCAAGACTGAGACAAGTGGGGCAGTGCTGCATTTGCCTTCATGAACACAGCTGTTGTGATGTAAACTGGTGACCACTAGGGAGGCAACGGTGTGTGCTTGCTTCTGAATGGGATCCTCTGCTCAGTGGATGTGGATGGCAATATACTGTAGCACAGCAGCTGAGCAAAGTTGCCCTCCAGCTAAATGGAATTGTCAGTTGCCATATTAAAACCCTCTCTCTTAGGAACTCAGCTGTTTGGTCTAATTGGAATGTTGCTCCACTCATTGAGAGGTTTGCCCTTCCCCACCAGAATTGGTTATTTTGAGGCATGTTCCTTGCTAGGACCTCCTATAGTGAAACCTGCCTTTTGAAACTGGCATTTCCTAGAGCTATATTCGTGAAGGTGAAGCAACATGACCCACCTTGTAAAGCGGAAGCTTAGTTGCTGGCAGAAAGGCAAGTTGTCCGCAAAAGTTTTAGTGTGTGCTCTTTTTCAGACATGTTTAATTGATAGCTGTTACGACTCTGTGCTGAGTTCCTAGCAATCTCAAGGAACATGTTCTGAGAGCCAGACAGTACCATTTCCAAGCAGGGTTTATTTCTTAGCTTATGTGGAAGCATTCATGTTTCACTCTTGACACAGTATCTACAGTGCAGCAATTGAAAACAAAACCCAACAGAAGCTTGCAATTCAGAAAGGACCACAAAACAATGAAGGTGAAAAACAGGAGCGGCAAGTAATCTACTTCCTCCTGGGTATTTTCTTTGTTCAAAATCATTTCTTCGTGATTTGAAATTCCAAAGTCTTGAACCTGAAGCATTGCAGTGCTTGTGTCTCTGGCTTTTAGATAATGTGGCCAAGACTTCATAGAAAGGGAATGGTATTATTAGAACAAAATGTTAAAAATTAAATATTCAATCTTATGCATACTTACAAGAGATTACGTTCCAGTTAAACTCCGTGGGACTTCCTTCTGAGTCAGCATGCTTAGGATTGTGCTGTAAGATCTCTCCTCTTTATTTGCTAAATACTGGTTTGGTTCAGATGTACCAAACTGTTTTTTGTAATCCACTTTGAGGTTCTTTACAGTCAAGTGCTGTATAAATCTAAATAAATAAATAAATAAATAAATTAAATTAAATTAAATAAAAAAAAACACTGAACTGAGGATCAGCAGTATGCGAATGAGTCTTGGGTGCAAGCACGCCTACCTGCCTTCTTCCTCCTCCTTGCATGCTGAGATTCCTTTCCCTGGTTTGTGTCAAACCCATAGTTTATCATTACATCTGAACCTTCCAACTTTGGTTCTACTTCCATGGTGGAAGGAAATCATAGTACAGTGGTACCTCGGGTTAAGTACTTAATTCGTTCCAGAGGTCCGTTCTTAACCTGAAACTGTTCTTAACCTGAAGCACCACTTTAGCTAATGGGGCCTCCTGCTGCCGCCGCGCCGTCAGAACACGATTTCTGTTCTCATCCTGAAGCAAAGTTCTTAACCTGAAGCACTATTTCTGGGTTAGCAGAGTCTGTAACCTGAAGCGTATGTAACCTGAAGCATATGTAACCCGAGGTACCACTGTAGTGTACATAAAAGGAGGACAGGAAAATAGACACACTTGAAGCTTTCAAATAGTACCAAACCATAGTTTGAGTTTCATCAGAACTGAGCCATTGTCATGGAAGAGTTTACTGGAACAATATTACAGTCTATGGACATAGTCATCATTGCTTTAAAACCACCCCCCTTCCACAAGTCAATGCCTTTTCTTTTCAAGTATATTTTTAAAACAAAAAAGACGGAATAAAAGATGTAGTTGGAAGAAGAGTTGCCTGTAGGACCTTTGTTTGCTATTGGGAATCTAGCCTAGTAAATTATTGGCAGCTGGCGTGATAATGAGCCTGTTTCGCTGTACAGGAGCTTCATGTTATTAATTTCTGCCAGCTTCTAGGCAACACATAAACTCCTTTTCAGACTCAGAGCACAACAGCAGCTTAAAGAAAGATGAGGGGAGAGAAGCACAGAGCAGAAGGAAGTAAACAAAATGGCACTAACCCTCTTCCTTCTTGTTATGATCCCAGTAAATGAGGAGCAAGGCTGAACAGAGGAGTGTAAGCTTATTTTAATTTTTGTTTTTATTTTTCCCACTTTTAAGAACCATCAGGACTCAGTGAGTTCTTATGAGATTGCCCCCTCCTACTTACTGTGCCTATAACTCTAGAACAGTTATCTTTTTCTGAAATGCCAGTGACTTTAATGCCCTATTGGTGAACGATACGTTGCATTCTTTTTGTTTTGAATAATGCACCTCCATCACTTACCTACTGCCTTTAATACAGAAATAGGTGGAAAACCAGGCTGTTGCTTGTGTCTCATTCTGTCAGTGGGGCCTGTACTGGTAGCTATGTATTTAATTGTGTAATTTCTTTTCAAAGAATCCAGTTAAACCAGTTCCTTCAGTTGCCGCCCTTTTAAAATTCAGCTTGTATTCTGAGCTTTTGTCAATGCATAAAGACATTTTCAATAGAGTGCTTTCATGCCTCCTTTTCTTTGCTTTTTGAGGTTGGTTCATAGACAGCCTCCTTGTACAAGAATTTATGAAGATGGCTGAAAAATACTTCTCTGAATAGGACCCTCTTTTGTTTGTCTGCCTCTATCTGTATCAGTTTTGCTTCCCCTCTGCTTTGCCCTTCTTAAGCGAAGGATGCAAATTTGCAAGAATATCCCGTTTCTTCTATAAATTTCCCATGGAATAACCATGACTGTATACTGTACCTCATTTTGAAAAGCAGACAGGGCGTACCTCTATATAATGTCCTAATCGTTTCCCTGCCTGCACACACTTCTAATAATATACAAGTGTAATTATTATACAGTTTAATGTTGATGCTTGTCATTTCCACGCAGTAAATTACTAAAGTGGAACTTTATATCCAGACTGGCTAATCCTTTTCCTTTGCTTCTCTCTCTCTTTTCTTCCCCAACAGGTTTTTGGCATATATTCACAGGCTCCGACAAGACAGTAATGGAGTCATTGGGTGGCAGCTGGTGACAGATTCTGCAGTTCCAGTAACTGCTCATTTTAATAGCATTTGCAGTTATATACATCTATATCCCACATTTCTTTTGGAGAAAGTGCAGCATACCAGTGCTGCCTTGTAAGGTATGTATGTTTAAGCATTTTGCATGGGAATTTGCTCCCTGGTGTGCAGTTTTGGGAGGAGAATGTGGCTTACCAGTCTACCTGTTGAGCAATATAGGAGAACTGGAATTTCCATTTGGTGGCAACTGATGAGATCCTTTATTCCCTCCTTCCCTTTGTTTTCTGCTTTGACTTGCCTGCAGGACGTTTCCCAAATGCATTTTATACTTCAATGTGTTGATTATGAAACAAAGTATCTGGCCATAGATTTATAACTTAAAAAACCCCACACCTGTGATATGCTTTGTTATGGTTTCTTGTGAAGTGCCGAGTAATAAGAGACTTTAAAAAGGTTAAAACTACTGCAGGTTTATAAGGGTATATATTTAAAGTAGATGAATAAATGAGCAAATTAAGTTAATTTGGATTTGCAGAGGCTATTAAAAATAAATTTAAGGAACCGTGGAAAGAGAGGGGAAGGAAGTCAAGTTTTGAAATGTTAAAATGATTGTAAAATTAGGGAAATTTATAAACTTGAAAAGAATAAATAAAATTTGAAAACAGAAAAAGGTTAAAACGAAAAACTTAATTAAACATTATCATTAAAAAGCGAAAGCGACCTTGTAGTTACTTTAAATAGGTATGTTTAAAGTGACTTTCATGGGGGTAACAAAGTTAACCTGTTCATACAAGTTCTTCTGCTTGTACAGCAGAATATCCCCCCCCTCACTCCATGCACACGTACCCCACCAAATCTGTTTTGGGGATTCCCCAAACCCCCTGGTGCAGATTTTGGGGTTGGGGAGAGGGAAGAGAAGTTCTGTGGCGCATACAGGAGTATGTGCACAAACAAGAAGACTTTGATGAATACAGACTATAGTGCTTTATTTTATCTGATTCATCAGATTGAGGCACAATTTAAATGTGATGCCGGCAGATCCATTTCTTTAAATGTAGGTCTTTTCCAATTATATAATGAAGAGAGGAATGGTGGAGGGCTCGGTTTCATTTTGCTTTTTAGAGGAAAGGTGGGGCAGGCACTTACACATGGCACACATTCCTATATTCTTGATGTAACTGTAAAGCACCTATTGCAAGAGGCTATAGGGAAGAGGTAGGAATCTGTGGCTCTCTAGATGTTTCTGGGCTGCTTCCATCACCTGTGGCCATTGGCCATGCTAGATCGGGCTGCTGGGAGTTGGGAGTCCAACATCACCTGGAAGGCCACAGGTTCCCTGCCCTGTTCTAAATGGCAGCTGCCAGGTTGATTCAGATATTTTTCCTGCATACCCCTTTCGCTCCAAAAATCTTACCTTGGCCCTGACTTTGGAGGTGACTATGGCAGAGCTGGGCTTAGAGAATTTAGTCTCCTGCTGTTACGTGTGCTTTGAGCCCAAACAAGGTAAATTCTATTTCAGTGGATGGCTGGTTTGTTTTTGGAAACAAAGGGCATGCTATTGGTTGGATCTTTCATCCCATTTTCACAGTATTAAAGCTTGGCTGTGAGCAGAAAATACAGATTTCATGCTAACAGCCTCCCACCAGAATCTAATTTTAAATTTGCAATCTGTTGTCTTACAAGGTACTTTGTATTTAATGGTGAAACTATGAAGTTCATAAAGCCTAAAAATTTGGTGGTTAAATTTAATTTTTCATAGTTCTTTCATATATAGCAATGTTCCCCAAACTTGGGTGTCCAGCTGTTTTTGGACTACAACTCCTAGTTAGCAGGACCAGTGGCCAGGAATCATAGGAACTGTAGTCCAAAAGCAGCTGGAGACCCAAGTTTGAGAAACCCTGGTATATAGTATGGAGCTTAATTCGGAAATAAAAAAGTGTTCCAGGAAAATAGAATAAAAAACTTAGTTGCTGAGGATGCCTGTCTGCATGGAAGGGTTGGGAGAATCAGCATTCTCTATCTTTGGAAATCTTCTCCTTGTACCTAATATATAGAAAGATGGATAATGACTGATTTGGTCTTGCAGTTAAATGTGTGAGTAGTAATGTAGGGGGTCCCTGTTCAATTATCAAAACAATGGCTAACACAGACCAAAGTGCGCTCTAAGTTTGTTTGCCTTCAGTGGGATCAAGCATGCTTAACTCTGTATTGGATTGTGGCTTTTAATGGCAGATCTGCAATGTTGTAAGTCTTCTTTGGTGGACTTTGATGTGAGAGCAATAAACCCAACAGCCAATTCCCTTCAACCAAATCATCTTGTTGCATTTAATCACCCAATCACTTTACTTTAGCATTTCTATAGCACTTGAGAGAATTCCAGGAACTTCACATGTGTTATCTTGTTACCCAAGGATATGGCCCTCCAGATGTTATTGGACTACAACTCCCATCATCCCTGACCATTGGCTATCTGGTTGGGACTGATAGGAGTAAGAGACTACATTTAGAGAGCTGTAAGTTACCTGCATGGGACGCGGGTGGCGCTGTGGGTAAAAGCCTCAGCGCCTAGGGCTTGCCGATCGAAAGGTCGGCGGTTCGAATCCCCGTGGCGGGGTGCGCTCCCGCTGCTCAGTCCCAGCGCCTGCCAACCTAGCAGTTCGAAAGCACCCCAGGGTGCAAGTAGATAAATAGGGACCGCTTACTAGCGGAAAGGTAAACGGCGTTCCGTGTGCTGCGCTGGCTCGCCAGATGCAGCTTGTCACGCTGGCCACGTGACCCGGAAGTGTCTCCGGACAGCGCTGGCCCTCGGCCTCTTAAGTGAGATGGGCGCACAACCCTAGAGTCTGTCAAGACTGGCCCGTACGGGCAGGGGTACCTTTACCTTTACCTAAGTTACCTGCATATGCCTTAGAACAGTGGTTCCCAATTAGGGATCCAGGGACCCCTGGGAGCACACCCAGAGGGTCCACAGTCCCACCCCTTGCCTCCCCCCAACTAATTCTTAGTCACTTTTGCATGGCAATATCACAAATTTTATAGCCTGTTTTCGCGCTGTGTGATTTTTCAATATATAGGCCAAAATCATTTTTGAAACCACACTGTGATAACGATTTTGACCCGGCAATACCCAGCAATATATTGCTCCTCATGTGAGGATACTGCACGATGATCTCAGCCGCTGACACTGCTGATCTGAGCTGCCTTTCCTCACGCTGAGGGAGACTCGGAGCACTCCCACCTTCTCTCACGTTGAGGGAAAACAGGGCAGCCGATTGTGAGGCGCTGCCTTCCCCTCACACCTATGGAGAACAGGTCTGCTGATCACCTTCACTTCAAGGCACTGTGGCACTACCTTCCCCTGGTACTGAGGCGGAGCAGCTTTTCTCAGTCAGTAGGAAAGCAGCAGCAGCCACAGTGGACGTGCATCTTCGCTGGCTTCCCTGTTGATGGTGGCTTGATGCAGCCCCCCATCTCCTCCCACTCAAGCCATGCCGTGGAGGTGACTCCACTTCCTCTCTTCCTCAAGAACCTCCTATTTTTCTTCATGATTGATATAAAATACTTGCATCCTACCTTTCTTTCCAACTGAAACTCAAGGCAGCTAAAAGAAATATGTAATACTGGCCACTCAAAACAAGGCAAAGAAGGGTCTGTCCTATTAAAGCACAAAAAGAGGGTCTGGTTGGCGGTTGTGCTCCCTCCCGCACCGCTAATGCAGTAATGACTGCAGTTTAGTGGGAGCCCAAGGAGGGAGGGCATTTGGACCAGGCAGGTTGACTTAAAAGCTCATATATTAAGTTAGCATTTTAGCCATTATGCCACGTTGTTGTTGTTGTTGGTTGTTGTTGTTGTTGTTGTTGCTGCTGCTGCTGTTCCTGGTGTTGCTGCTGCTGTTGCTATATATTATTTATACTTTGGGAAGCTTATAATACATATAAAAACATAGTCAAACCTCAAACTTTAAAAACCTGATACAGGGCTGGCTTCAGATGTTTTCTTAATGTTCATTTCCTTAACATCTGATGGGAGGGTGTATCACGAGGAGGGTGCTACTGCCAAGAAGGCCCTCTGCCCTCAGATGATTTGCTGCAGTCTGTTGGTATCCAACCTGTATTTCAACCCTTCAAATATGCCTAAAAGTCTCATATAAAAAGTAGGATTTACATTTTTGTTAACTTGGGTGGTGAGTTAAAAGTCTTGTGTTATGCCTGTCATTCTTTGAACATAATCCAGGACAAGTTAAAACCCTCAACTTGCATCATGTCCAACGTATTAAGGATGGTCTGCTTACGTCAGAGCACTACTCAACAGATGCCTTTTATCACGACCTATTTCTTGCTAAAACTTACCCATGAACATCTCTATTTGTATTCCCAAAGATGATGGTATTAAGCGAACCATTATCACAGCTACTGAATTTTGTGGTAGCAAATGAATGCTCTTTGAGGGAAAGCACTTTTCTCCTAGCTGCTTTTATTTCTTGCTCAATAGAGATTACTCTTGGGTTCTTTTGGGGGGGGGAGCTTTTTAATTTTTTTATGATTTTGTGCATTATTTATGTTCTGTGTTGGGTTCATTGCATGTGCTGAACTGGCAAAATGCATGCAGTTGCTTTATTCATTGGGCAAGTTGCTGCGTGTCTAGGGACTGAGTTTCTGTATAGCAAGTTGGTCTAAAATTAGCAGCTCCTTTCTCAGTAGTGGAGTCTCATGCTCCTTCTTCATCTGGCACAAAATAGTGATCTCATAATTTTCGAGAATGATCCATTAGAACTTAGATTTTCCCAGCTCTAAAGAATGTAAGGTGAATTTGGCTGCTTTGGTTTGAAACCTTTTAGTTGGTAGTTGCAAACCTTCACTGTAAAACCTCTTTGTATCCTTTCTAATACACAGCAGAACATGTTGAGACTAAGCACACTTGCCTTGGAGCAAGGCCAGTTGAACACATTGAGATTTACTTCTGAGTAAATAAGTATAGGATTGTTCTGAAAGTCTCCTAATTGCAGTTAAGACTACACTCTTAAGGTTGCCTGAAAGAGATTAGTTGCCCCTTGAACATTCTTAAGTACTGTGTTGTGCTTCTACTTAGGATGATCGAAGAGTGATAAATGGATGGATTTCTGCTGCCCTTTCCACTGTTGGGGGAGATAGAATTTTAAACAAAAATGGAAAATGGTGGAGAGAATGGTGGAGCTGCTCTGTTGTCAAATTTGTAAGCCCTTCTCCAAAAGAATGGCAGTGGAGCCTCGCTATGTAGGTAGAACATTTAATTCTTGAAATGTCCTACTGACAATTGCGGATGACATTTGAGTATCTTGTGTGTGTGTATGTGGACCTTCCCCAGGACTGTGTGTTTCACACTGTTAAGAGAGAATTTTGCACCAAGGGTAACCAGTATTCAGTGACGAGGAAACTTGTATAAGTCATGTAACAAATTAAACTAACTTTAAATGAATTTGTATTTTGCATAGGTAGGTTGTACTATTTTGCATATTTGAGACTAAAGACAGATGTAGTATAGAAACGACTTTCACGGAGCTGTCAGCCCTCGTTTGGTATTAACACCTGTCTCCAGTGTACTAGTAAATTGAACAGTTGACATATCATTCTTGTCCTTATGCAGTACATTTGCTCAGCTGCCTGGTTGCTGCTGTTGGCTTTCTCCTCTTCCGTCTGAGGAACAAAGTGCCTTGAAAGTCAGGATGCTGAGATGGCAGCCATCTCTGGCACCCAAGTGCAGGACACTTCCTTTCCCAGCTGGGCAGGGTGGTATCAGGGAGAGGCAAGAATGACATACTGCCATGCGATTCACTGGTGTGCTCAAAATGGATTTTAATATAAAAAAGAGAAGCAATTGCAGCTCTTTCTGCTTCTGCATCTATCTTTAGGCATAATCGGCTTGTGTTTGTCTGTGGGAAGGGCAGGAGCTGTATAACGTCCTTCTCTCAAACAACTGAAGAATGTTTAGCAACTTCTCTGGCGTCTGAGGTTTCATCAGCTATTGCCCACAATCACCAGAACTATGAGGCTACAAACTACCATTTTAAAACTAGAAAGCATTTTTAAGAATATCACATTTGCTGGTTTTTCGGCATTCCTGTAGAATTGTGGGATACACACAGCCCTGTTTTTTCCCTCCTTTTTGTTATTCCAAAGAGTTCGAATTCTACCTCTATTGCTTCATGCCATCCACCATCTTGGAACGTGAGCTCCCCTTTGGATCCAGCCCTTGACCTGCTGTCCGTTCATTAGTGTGACTGAGGCAAGGAAGCCTTCATTCATTTAATCTATTTGCATGGAGGTGTCTGCAAATTCCAGAGCCTTGAGCAATCTGAAACACTAACGCTTTGGGACATTTTGTTTTCTTCTTTGACTTATTCTGAGCCATTCTGCTTCGGGTGGAGCTTTTAAGATTTCCACACCAGAGGGTTTTTTTTTGGCTGAGCTCTTATTCCAGAATAAGTAGCCCAGTTTGTCTGGATTTTTGGTGGTGATGAGAGTTGTGGTTCCAGGTCATGTTCAAGAGGGGCTTTTGGATAATGGTTCAGGGTTCTGTCCAGAAAATATCAAGTTTCTTTCTGGGATTTTCATTCAGGTTTGGTTTGACCCCCTGAGGAGTAGTAATTTGGTTTATCCTGATCTCCCATTAGCACTGCAACATGTATGCATCCTGTTTTAGGGGAAACATGATTTCTAATTTTGCCATTCTCACTGCCCTGAGTGGCTTGTGAATACATTCTTAACTCATAAGTCCAAATTTTTAAAATAAAAATTCCACTGTGTTCAAGTGTGTTCATTGGTAACCGGTTTGACACATTGCTGAGATATAAAATATAAAACTTGAAAAAGAGCAACGTTGACTCTTAAATTCCATTGGATTATTATAGTCAGCACTCCTATTAATTTCGTTATATTTTATTGTATTTAAAAATATTTTAATAATTGTTTTCTTCTAAAAATCTGAAAGAAGTTTACAGCACAGTGCAAAAATTGCAGTGGAACTTAACACCTATACAGTGATGATAATAAAGCAATAAAATAATAAGAACAGTTGGATTAATTACCAATTGAGTCTTGGGAGAATAAGTTTTCAGCAGACACTGATATATGAGCACATGCCATAATACAGAGGGCAGGTATTTGTTGAATTGTGTATGAGAGCACAAAAAAGATATATGTATATACATACCCACTCACAGTCAGACACACCTCGCGCAAACCATTTCAGTTTCAGACTGAGGGTTAAACAAAGTCATGGGTCACAGAAAAGCATTTTGTATTGTTGTGGGGTGTGGGGAAAATAATTGGTTAATTCAACCCCTTGGCTACCTTTTGATTTTATTTCAGTGAAGCCTGTGTTGTTTTTTATTCAGGTTATATTTCGTAGATCAACATATGAATTTGGAAGTAATGGCATATGTATTGTTTATTACCTCATAGCATTGTGAGACTTGGGCATGTTTTGTCAGATCCATACAGAGCAGCTGCTTGATATATAGGATAATGAGTGGGTCTGTCAGGAACACTGGCAGGTTAAACTAATCTTTTATTAACATGAAAAGGGGGGGCGCTTTACGTTTGGAGAATATAGGTTGCATTTGTAACACATTCATGTTTCTTGTTCTTTCAGACCCTTAAACCATGGGAAATGCAGAGAGCCAAAATGTAGAACATCAATTTTATGGAGAGAAACATGCCAGCTTGGGAAGAAAACATACATCACGTTCCCTTCGCCTTTCGAACAAAGCATCTCGCCGGACCAGACATGCTTCCTCAGGAAAAATTATTCACAGGAATTCAGAAGTAAGCACACGATCTAGCAGTACTCCTAGTATTCCTCAGTCCTTAGCAGAGAATGGCCTGGAGCCCTTTACCCAAGAAGCCAACTTGGAGGATTTTGGAAGCCCAATCTGGGTAGACAGGATGGATATGGGCTTAAGGCCAGTTTCTTACCACACTGATTCTTCGGTTACTCCCAGCGTGGATAGCAGCACAGTCCTCATGGCAGCCTCAGTACAGAGTATGCCAAATTCAGAAAGCGGTAGACTTTATGGAGATGAATCAACATATCTGGCTGAAGGGGGTAGCAGGCAACATTCGTATTCAACAAATGGGACCAATTTCTTGGAGCCTATAAGTTTCAAGAAGAAACGTTCAAAATCTGCGGATATATGGCGTGAGGACAGTTTGGAATTTTCACTCTCTGATCTCAGTCAAGAACATTTGACAAGCAACGAAGAAATCCTAGGCTCTACTGAGGAGAAGGAAAGTGAGGAGACTCGAGGAAGAGAGGCGGGCAGCAGTCGCCAGCCATTGGTCACCTGCCAGCGCGCCAATTCCATGAGTGACTTGTATACTCCAAAAAACTCAAATGCTGCAATCAATGGGGGTCCACGAAATACGCTAGGAGGGTACTGTCGGAATTTAATGTCTCATATTCCAGATATGGAGAACCACAAAATGTCACCAGCCACAACAGAGAATGTTCCTTCTTACAGTAATTACAACACGCTCCCCTGCAGGAAATCTCATTGCCTCTCAGAAGGAATCACTCACCCAAAAATGAGCCATAGCAACAGTATGCATGGCAGACGAGCAAAAACAACTCAGGTAAAAGACCCATATCTTATTTCAAACTTGACAACCTGTGGTGTTCACTGCTATAAATATGCTGGGTTTTTAAAAATTGAAATCGTTTGCTAGCTATGTTCCATTCAGATCCTTGATTTGTAATGAAGAGTCAATGCAGCCATGGACAGAACCAATACTTTCCTGATGATTAAGTAGAACTTCATTCCTAGGTGATTTTATCTATATACAACCTATTCTAACAACAACAACAATATACACTCTTAGTATTGGAGTTGTTGGTAAGGGGACTTGCCTAAGAATCAGATTGCAGTTATTAGACTATAGAACTACCATGGTTCATGAGAGTCATATTTTCATGACAAAATATTCACATAACAAAACATTTGGGTGGTAACAGATCATATATGCAAATATCATCTTAGTTACCAGTGGCTTAATTGTTAGCAGCAACGTACCGTAGATTCTGGCATATAAGACGACTTTTTAACCCCGGAAAAGAGGTTAAAAAGTCGGGGGTCGTCTTATATGCTGGATATGGCTGCAGTGGGCGGTGGGCTCCGCGCCGGGAGGAAACAGCCCAGCTTCCTCCCGGCGCGGAGCGGAGCGGAGCGGAGCGGAGCCTGCTGCCCACTGCTGCTGCGGAGAAAAGGAGAAAACTACTACTTTGTCCAGTCAAAAAGAAAGATGGTGGCTCTGTAGGCTTTGAAACAATGCTGCTTTTAACATTTCCTGATGTTCTATTACTTTTTATTAAATATGTTTCATTCTCAGTCCATAAAAAATAACAACAATACCACAACCATTCATCACAGTTAATTGACATATAAATTGAAGGTGAGAGCTGTTTTGTTATCACCAGTGGCACTGGTGAGATGGTTTGTAGGCAGAATTGCCAGTAGCTGCTGCTTGGTAATGGAGTTTGTGTAGAATTCGTGTCTGGGGCAGCTGTCCATTCAGCAACTCTGCACTTGCATGGTGCTGGCTGTGGCATGTCTCCACTCCTAGTGCAAAGGGTGGGAATTTCCATCATTTATCAGCATGCATAAAGTGCCATCAGCTTTATCTCCCAGATCATCTCCCTGGCCATACTGGTTATCGCTATCAAGAAATTCTAAAATGCCTTATTCTGCTGCCCGATTTCTCTATTCCATCATTTCCTCCCTAATTTGATATACACAAGTTCCTCTTTCCCCTTGTCAGTTTCCTGTGACCAGCTGTAGCAGTGATATGAGACTCTGGTCTTAAATTTGCATGATGTTTTTTTCTCAGGCCTTAAGCAGTTGCCAAGACCTTGCATGGAGGTGTTCTTTTAGCTCAGATGATATGAGTGGCTTTGAGATAGGCTACGAAGCTTGCCCTGAAGCTAGCAGCTTTAACTGATGTGCCAGTTTCAGGCACAGCCATCAAGTCAGCCTTCTAGGGAAAAAGCAGTACTTTTTCTCCAACCAAACTATTACTCCAAAATCTACTTACCTATTAATTGAGACCACACCTCCATGTTTTCTAGGGATGTAAGTGCCTTTTCGTTGTATTGTATAAATACAACATGCATGAATAGACAAATATAAGCCAACTTCCTCTGTCAAGTAGTTCTGCAAATAATAGCTGACAAATCAAGGCGGGAAATGTTGGGGCTAATAAAGAAAGAACCATACCTTTCTTATCCCCCTTTATATGGACCACTGTTGCTTAAATAACGACATCCAATGACATAAAATGTATATTTTCATAAATATACAATCATGCCAACCATAGGCTTAACATTGTCCCAAACAGAAATTTCTTGACTTGACCAAGTTTAAACGTTTGTTATTTTCTTTATTATTTTGTAGCTACTGTAAGTTCTAGAGATGGCATATTCTGCATGTTGTACCGGTCTGCTCTCAACCTAAGTAAGAGTATGAGTCAGGTCAAAAGGAAACTATGAAATTTATCCTGTATACGGTATATTCAATGTGCAACTCTTCCTGTTGACATATATTTGTAATTAATAGTCTTTACGGCATTCATCTTCTAAGAAGTAATTGCTCAAATGAGGTTAGTTATAGTGTTTCTTGGTTTTTGGTATTTGCCTTTTGTAGCTATCTGTTGTGAAATGTAGCTAGCGGATGAAATTGAACAATCCCAGAAAGAAGCCTGAACAAATAGGTCAAGACTAGCGCTAGACAGCATGCTTCAGTGACTACTCTGATTTTATTTTATGTTCCATTTTAGTACATATGTAGCAGAGAATGCAGACTCTTATCTTGTGACCCGGAAAAAGAAAAACACTTCACGTAGGGATTGGATAGGGGTGATAAACCATCTGACTTGCATCCTGATGCTGAGTTAAGTTTGGGCAATGCACCATTCTTAAGTGCAATTAGATCTGACAGTGTGAGCTGGTCAGATGAACAGCTTCTACAAGTGTAGGTGTTGGGATAAATAACACATCAGCGAAAGATGCCCACTGGATGGCAAGGAGAAGCCTGAATGGATGGGGAGGGGGAGAGAGGGGAAGAAAAAGAATGCATCAGTTGGCACTAACTTGTAGGAGGTAACTGGAGGCGGGTATCTGGATTAGCTGCTTGCGTTTGATCCATGAAGATGTGCTGTTTCTAAATATAAAAATGACATTCTGAAACAGATGATGCTGTTTTCCCACAGCAGAAGCTCTATATTAAAAACAAAAACCCCCAAAAAGCATCAGCCTTTTAGTAGGGGTGCTTATGCAACATCAATATAGACATTCTTCACAGTTCTGTCAAGGCTGCTGAGCACAAATTAAAGCTGTTGGTGATATCCAACTAGAGAGGCAAAGGTAAAGAACCTCACAGTTGTTCATCCAAAGACGAATCTGGAGTGTGGCCGCTCATCTCGCTTTTTAGGGTGAGGGAGCCGGCGTTTGTCCACAGACAGCTTTCCAGGTCATGTGACCAGCATGACTAAACTGCTACTGGTGCACAGAGGACTGCGACGAGTGCCAGAGCACATGGAAGCACCGCTTACCTTCCTGCCGCAATGGTACCTATTTATCTAACGCTGGCGTGCTTTTGAACTGCTAGGTTGGTAGAAGCTGGGACAGAGCAACAGGAGCTCACTCCGTCACGCGGATTCGAACTGCAGACCTTCCAACTGGCAAGCGCAACAGGCTCAGTGGTTTAAACCACAGCACCACCTGCATCTCTACGCTATCCAACTAAGCCATACTTGAAAATAAACTCATTGAAATCAGTTGACTGACCCAAAGGTTCTGCTAATACCCCCTTTTCAGGCAAGGTGGTGGACAGGGCAGTAGCTGGACAATTTCAGATTTGTTTGGAATGAAAGGAATTATCTTGACCCATTTCAATCTGGATTCAGGCCTGGTTTCAGCGCTAAATCAGCTTTGACCACGCTGGGATAACCTGTAGAGAGACAGAAAAGGAGAGTGAGCCTGTTGATTCTTCTTGATCACGCTGCAGCCTTTGATACCATCAACCATGATGTCCTCCTGAAGTAGCTCTGCAGGTTGGGAGTTGGAGATACAATGATATGGTGAGGAACAGCGGTGTAGTGGTTCTGTTCCAGTGCTGCAGTGCTGTTTTGAAAGAGCATCATTGGGGTGCTGCTGCTCAGCCACTGGGCAATTGTTCTATGTATTTTGCTCTGTCCTATGAGCACAGGGCTCTCTCTTGTCTCTATGCTGTTTTAGCATCTGGGTTCCTTGAGGGGAAAGGGCAGTGTCAGGAGGCAGTAATGGGCTGGATGAGAGCCAGTAAATTGGCACTGAATCCTGACATGATGGAGGTGTTGATGGACAGCTTTTGTGTTCAGGAAATGGAGAGACAGTTGGTTCTAGATAGAACTTTTCTTCCTGAAAGAGCAGCTCCTTCGCTTGTGGGGAAGAGAGGTGCTCTTCAATTTAACACTGGCATTGGAGACGTACCGTAGATGGCAGCAGCGGCAAGAAGTGTCCTATTTCCACCTCCGGCTGGTACACCAAGTACAGCTGTTCCTGGATCAAGATAGACTTACTAAAAGAACCAGTGTTCTGGTAACTTTGCAATTAGTCAACCATAATGTGCTCTTATAGACAGTCTGGAAGCTGCAGCTAATGCAGATTATGGCTGCTGGAGTTGTGGTGGCATATTTAACTGGGACCACATAACAACTGTTTACCAATATATTGTATGCTACTGGGGCCAATCAAGAATTTTGGAATTAATACATATAATGCTGAATGATTTTGGTCCCAAATGCTTGAGTATGTTTCTCATTATCAGATGTTAAGGTCTGTTGGGGGAAGCTCTTCTTATGCTACTTCTGACCATCACAGCCCATTGTGCAGTGATATGGGACACAACATCAGCGGAATTACCTCCCCATAGAGATCCAGTTGCCATCCTCATTATTGAGTTTTTGGTAGCATTTGAAGACATTACTTTCACTTGGGTCCTTTGACAGACTGAGGTACCCAAGACCATTAATTATGCTGCCTGTATTGTGCTAATTAAATTTGATGTATATTTTAATGGTTTTATTAATGGATTTTTTATTGTTCTGATTAGGTATTGTAGATTTCATTGGGATCTTTTTAATGGTTTTAAAGTCAAATCAAATCAAATCAATCAATCAATCAATCAATAAGTCAATGAAAGCTACAAATCTGAGCATGCCCACATTCCTCTTGACAGCTTTAAGCTACAGGGAAAAGAACAAATCAAGGGGTGCCTGAAAGTACTGGCCTTCCTCAAAACTGTCAGAACTACAAGCCTAACTTCCTACCTCAGTGTCCTTCAGTGCTGATCAGAAGTTGCTTTATCCATACTGTGTACATGTTCTCTTGGTTGGAAAAAATGGGAGATCCATTTTTTTAGTGCTCAAACTGGCTTCTAAAATGGATTCCGGAGTCTTTCACTTACAAAGCGAAATTGAAAAGGAGCAGAGAACCCAGTATTCTTTTAGTCTACCTCATTATGCAGACATAGCCAAAGGAAATGTTCTTTGTTTTCTTTTGAGAAAGCGAATAGAATCTTAGTTTCCTGAAGCTTAGTAGT